GGCATGTGGTGCTGGGGGATTGAACCGTGGTTCCTCTGCTTTGCTAAGCTTGTTCTAAGTAGGTGCTTTAGACCACTGAGCCATCTCACCAGCCCATTGCCTATAGTTTTAAGAGAATAAAAACTAGTAAAAAAAAAACCAAAAAAAAAAAAACCAGAAATAATACAGAACCTTACTAAACAAGTGATAGGAATTCAATAATGGTTCTTACACTGCTTATTCTTGTCTTCAAATTAATTGTTCAGATTACCAGATAAAAAGCAGTTGAGACACAGCACACCATGGTTGTCACCCTACTGCGCAGTAGCGCACCAGAACACCTTGTTCTTGTCTAACTGGACCCTACACCTTGACTGACTGGCCCATCTCTCTCTTCACTCTTCCTAGCCTCTGGTACCCACCACTCATTCCACACTCCACTTCCGAGGGGTACATGGCAGTGCCTTAGAAAGACCCCACTGGCCATGAGGCAGAGGGCAGACCGGTGTAAGATGGGAACCAGCTAGGAGCTGAGGGAACCAGCTAGGAGTTGAGGCAGCGGTGATCTCTGCCAGGGGGCATGGAGAGAGCTGGCTGATCAAAAAGATTACAGAGTTGTGACTGATCAGATTTCAGTTGAGAGCAAGAAGGTGGCTCTCAGGTTTGGGTTCTGGGTTACAACAGGTTTTTCAGACTTTTTTGAATCATAATTTAAAATGACAAATACTCTTCCCCCGCTGACACAGAATACACACAAACACACATGTGTATATGCTGAATGTGTTCAACAACAACAAAATACAGGCTCTTTCTTTGTGAAAGCTCCTGTATATTTTTTATGCTGTTCTACAACATTTGTTGTTTCTCTTTCTTCTCTCATATCAAATGCTGGTGGCCACTTGATACACCAATTTTCTGACAGGGCCGGGCCTGCTGTCTGAAAAGGTGTGGGCAGAGACTGATGGGGTCTTTGTTGAGGGTTGGAACACACAGCCAAGCCGCCAGGCAGGAGCCTAGAAAGCCCTGTACTCCTGCGCCCCATTCCCCTAAGAACTGGGTCTCCAGCCTGCTGGCACTCGGAGTGTCCTGTCACGTGTACCAGTTGGTTCCTGGCTGTCATCTAAAGTAAATCCTGTCACAGGGCTGGGAGGAAGGCAGGGGTTGTCACCTGACAGGTACAGCATTTCAGCTTCACAGAATGACAAGAGCACTGTGGACAGATGGTATAAATGGCTCCCCAACAAGTGAGTGTACTGTATCCACTTCTGTACATGAAAAAGTGGTTAAGATGCTAACATTAATTTATGCATATATTACCACCATTTTTAGAACTATGCATAAACAAGCCAATTTTTTTCGGAACCGAGGAATGAACTCAGGTCCTTGTGCTTGCCAGGGAAGCACTTATTCTACTGAGCCATCTCTTCAGCCCCCTGCTGAGCCATCTCCCCAGCCCCACTAATTTTCAAAACTATCTGGTGTAGTCTGGAGGTGAAGTCTCTGGATTGGAAGAGTTCTGGCAGGTAGTCTAGACCAAATCCCTCTGGATGCCCAAGCTTCCTACACAATATTCCTTAAAAGTGATGCCCAAAGCCTGGTTCTGGGAACAGAATAGTCCTCCCTGAGAGAAGCTCAGTTTCCTGCAAGTTTCTACCATTAAGTCCAATTCTACCCCTCTGGGTCATACAAACAACCTAAATGCTTTCATGTGCTGGAATATACATCCCCTAAATATTTATTGAACACAGTACCACTAAGTACCACTGACTAATCTTTCTAATCTTTGCCTTTCCAATTAAATATTTATCTCTGTTACTTTTCTCTCATTGCTGGGACAAAATACCCAACCCCAAAAATTAAGGAAGGAAAGGCTTATTTAGCTCACAGTTAGTGGAGATTTCAGTCCATACTTGGCTGGCTCCAAGGCAGAGTGGCACATGGCAGCAGAAGACAACAAAGAGCAGAGGGAGGAGCAGCAGCTGAGGCGGCTAGCAAGCCCGTCCCTCCTCCTCACGGGGTGTGCAGATTCCCCACCCCAGAGCGGGTGTAGCACTGATGCTCATAACCCTCGTGTTGGATCATGAATTAACCACAAACTCTAGAAGCCTGCCTGCCCCGGTGACTGGCTGAGGCTTTTGGGAAACAACTAGACACAAACCATACTAACATTCTAAAATCCAATGACTATTCCATGTATTGCAGTATTTAATGTCCTTTCAGCAACTCATAACTCTTTTGCAACAACAAAATTATGGCTCTTCTTCTTGTGGTATGGCATCTAGGAACAAGATATGGCTATATTCACAGCTGCCACCAAAAAAAAAAAAAAAGTGATTTCAACAGAGCTTCTAGGTAAAGGGGAGAGGGTGTCGTGGCCGGTGGGCAGGAAAGAGATCTGAGGGTCATGGTGACACATGACACGGGGAGGTACGATTTGCCCTTCAAGTGCAAGACTAAAACAGCATTCAGGCCTCAGGTGTTAAGGATGGCTCCAAATCCAATCGATCTGGATTCTTATCTCTGATTTATTCTGTTTCTTCAGAACCAGAGAAACCTTTCCTCCAGTGAAGCGTCTTCACAGCGTGGCACAGCGCAGGGCTTTGCTGCTCTATAAATACACATAATGTATGATTTCCTCCTTTGACTCTGGAACCTAAACAAACAGATTATGTTCCAAAAATTTCATGAACCCATAATTTAGTGGCCATGTACTCCTAAAGAATTTCATTCTAAATATAGAGAGGTATTCCTCTGCAGAAAAATGTCCCAGCAGCATGGTTCTAATATATAATTAAATCCTCTAGATACTTCGCAGTTATATTTTATGGCTTATTTTGAGTGTTCATATTTTATCAGAAAATTATAATTTTCCTCTAAATAGGAATTCTTACAAGGCTTTTGAATTATGACGGCTGGCTTCATGTTTCAACCAAAATTAAAACAGTGAAAAGAAATAGTGTAACCGTCATCACATATGGTTCTGGTGAGGTCCAGGTTTGGGGGCTCCCTGCCTCTACATGCCCAGTTGCCCTGGGGCTGGAGGTCACTCTGACACACTGTGGGCTCCATTTGCCCCCACTTGGCAAGGAGAGCTAGTTTCAGAAAGAGATATTGTGAACTAAGGGGCTGAGGGCGTGGCCTGGGAAGGGGGTCTGAGGAGAGCGTTGAAGCCATGTTCCCAGGCTCAGCTGAGTGGTGCCTCCCCAGAGATGCTTCCTGCCCACGTCATCCCCCACTGCGGCTGCCTCGCCCTCTTTCTCTTCATAAGGTTTGTTCACTTTTCAAAAATGGTGACATCTAATTTATGAGCTTATGCTCCGCTTCTGCACTGGACTGCTAAGCTCTTTTACTTTGAGCCAAGCAAAAGCCGTTTCATTCAATATTTTATTTATTTGTTTGTTTGTTTATTTATTTATTTATTTATTTGGTACCAGGAATTTAGGGCCTCCCACTCGCCAGGCAGGCGCTGCACCACTGAGCTACATCCCTGACCCATTCAAAATTTTATAACCAACTTCCCGGGCCGAGTCTGAGTTTACTTCATACCACAGTGTACCACAGACCTGGGGACTTACCCAACAGAAACCCACTCTGTCACAATTTCTGGAGGCTGGAATCTGAGACCAGGGTGTGGCAGGGTTGGTGTCACCTATACCTCTCTCCTTGACTTGCAGATGATCCCTTTCTCTCTGTCTCTCCATAGTCTTTCATCTGCGTATGTCTGTGTCTAATTATCTTTCTCTATGAGGACACCAGCCATGGTGGATTGGGGCCTGCCCAAATCGGTTTATTGTCTTCAATTATGTTTTCTCAAGGCCCTATGTCCAAATATAATCACTCTCTGAGGTTCTGGGGTTATAATGTTATTAAGGGGACATGGTGCAGTCTACAGCACACGCATTAGGCATGCAGCAAGCGTTTGTTGAGTGAGAAAGATGAATGGAGACAGAACACAGGAATGGGGGCCCATGTGCTCCTGGAAGCACAGGCAAGCATGCGCTGGGACAACATGCTCCAGGATGCTTCTCCCTTCTCCCCTCCCTTTTTCCCCCACTTGCACCCCAGAGGCCGAGACACCTGAGTCTGTCCACTCTGGGCCCCGCCTAGCCAATCCACTGAACCCCCTGCTGCAAGTTCAGATGTGACGTCCCAGGGGAGACTGGCCATCTCCAGGAAGCCTGTCCTGTCGGTCCTCTGAGGACCCTCTGGGGGGTGTGGCTGCACAGTACACAGGGGTGGCCTCTGAACTGTTTCCATGGTGATGACCGTACTGTCCCAAGGCAGAACCAGGCCAACAGAGCATGTCACAGGGCAGAACCAGGCCATCTGCTGCTCCCCCTGTGCCTCTGCTGTGAATCTTTGGCCATCACCCATGGACCTCTGCAGTCCTCTGCGTCCTTGCTAAAGAAATCTCCCATGGCCCGCTCACCGGTGGACTTTCACTGGGGCATTCATTGTGACCTCATATTGTTGCCCAGTGGCTTTGGCTCCCTCGTCCTGACCCTCTGCCTGCTCCTTTCCATCAGGTATCAGGTTTGGAGCCCCAACCAGTAGCCAACAGCATCCTCTGCTTGCGTGACAAAAGATGGGAAGAGGTCAGAGGCATCCTGACTTCTGTTTTCAGTCCTGAAAAGCTGAATGAGGTAAGACCCAGGAAACGCAGGCTTTTCCTACTGGGAACAGACTTCTGCGTCCAAGCTGCGATGGACGGCAAGCCTACCCTCAGTTCTTGCCCAGCAGCACATCCCAACGCCCGGTTTCCCAGGACCCTCTGCTTCTCTATTATGCAAACATACAGGACCCAGTGCCGAGTGCCTGCCACCTCGCCAGCCTCCTCATCCCCAGTTGCCATCAATCAATTGTGAGTTAATAGCACTTATGGCACTCCAGCTCGGTCCCTAGATGCTGCTCAGGGCACTTTGGGGCCCCGAGAGAAAACTGGAACAGGTTTCTTGTCCTTCCATGCATAATGGACCCTGTGGGGAGCCTGTTAAAAATGTACATTCTGACTCAGGAGATCTGGAGTAGAGTCTGAGCACACACTTAAAGCAGCCTCCCCAGAGGTAAAGTAGCTGCGAAGCAGTGACACACACTACATAGCAAGAAAGTGGAGGATGGCTTAAAATAAAGGTGAGCTCTGAATCGAGTCTCAGGTAGGGAGGTCATAGCCATGGAAGGAGGAAGGGGATGTTTTGGGAAGAACTCAAGCTAGGCCTTCCTGCCCAGGATAACCCTTGAGACTGAGTCGGGGGAACAAAGAGTCTCCGCAAGATGCCACCAGCTTTTTAAGGCCTGGCTCTCTCCTCTTCTAACCCAAAAGGCCACTTGCTTCTCATTGGGCCTCTAAAAGTGCGTATTTGCATGGCCTCTCAGTCAATTTCTCAAATACCTGATCCCAAATGCTAGCTTGATCCTGATGGGTCCGTCTCCCTCAAGGGCTGATCTGGCTTTAAGATCTTTAGTTCTGAATTCCGTAATAACTCAGGAGTGAGAACTTGGACGACCCCTGTGACATGGAGCCGTCAAACAGTGTATTCATCAGCTTTCTCATTGCTGGGACAAAATCCTCACCATCCACAACTTAAGAGGAGAAGTCTGAGTCAGCTCGTAGATTCAGGCACTCAGTTCATAGTGAGGGAGCAGGCAGTCTACCTGAGGCCACACGCAGGAAGTACGCTCCACCCATCCTCTGGGTGGCTACCGTGCTAATCCTGTTGACACAGTCAAGCTTAACCACCATCCCACCTCTTGTGAACTTGATATCCAAATACACCTCCTTATACCATATTTAATGGTAAATGTACCATCTTTACCGTATTTAATCCCCGAATAGACACGGCATAATTCCACCTAACGTAACTAGCTTGTGCGCAACCAAAAATACAATGACCCTTTCCCCAGAACCTCAACAGTTCTAGCATTTTTCATGAGTCCAAGTAAGTCTTTCACCAGGCATGGTGATGTGTGTCTGTAGTCCTAACACCCAGGGGAAGCTGAGGCAGGAGGATAATTGCAACTCTGAGGCTAGCCTGGGCTGCAAAGGCAGTTGGAATCCTGCCTCAAAAAGGAAAAAAAAAATCAAAACAAGTCACTGTCTCTGAGACTCAAGGCAAACTCTTAGCTGTGAACCTCTATAAAAATGAAAATAAGGCACGTAATTCCTAAGGTATAATGCCACATGGTATATATTACCATTCCAAAAAGAAAGAAAAACAGTATAGAAAACAATGAGGCCAAAGCAAGACTGAAACCCAGGAGGGAAAACATTAAGTCCTACAGCTTTATATCCAGCATCTGGGTTCAAGGTGGTAAAGTGAGAGCTACAAAGGACCTCGGGGACCCCAAGCATATGCTTCACTTTGGGCTGGATGGCTCGTGGCCTGCAGCTTTCCTTAGCAGACATTGCATGTTCCTGGTACCTGTAACCCTCTGGGGTCTCCACTGTACCTTTAGCTCCATTCTCACAGCTTCATGCATTGCCCTGTCGGGGGTCCCTTGCCTCGTCTCCCAGTTTTCCTTTGAAATTTGGGAGAAAAGCTCCCTGACAACACAACTCATGCTGCTTTTTTTTTAGAACCAGGGATTGAACTCAGGCCCTTGCGCTTGCCAGGGAAGTACTTATTCTCCTGAGCCATCTCCCCGGCCCCTAACTCATGCATTTTGTAAATGGGTAAAACCAGCAACAGATGGGTGGTGTCATGGTCTCTCATCAGCTGTAGCAGCACCCACACCACCTCGGACCATGGTTGCAGAGGCTTCTCAGTGCCTCGATGGCTGACCACTATGAAATGACTCCTGGAGAGCCAATTCCCTAGGCCCTTTTTAAGCAGGGGTTCCACAGACTCTCTTCTCAAATGAAGGGGTTACACCTTTGCACCCCTGAGCCTGCAATGGGCAGCGTTTTGCTAATTTCTGAGAGGCCCTCAAGGCTTTTCCTTTTATCTCTAAATAACGTACTTGGTTTCTTTGTAATAGTGCTAATCTTTTCAGCAGCCACACCTACTTTGGCCCCAATGTTATACATAGTTCTTTCTGGGCCAAAATTTAAGTTTTTCAAATTTTTCCGCACTGCGTTTTGCCTCCAATTGGTACTATAAGTCTGACTGAAAGTAGCCAACAGTATTCATGGTACAGTGTGAATATTGGGCTGCCTTTGCATTTCCTCCACAAGATTAATTAATCCACCACACTTGATCTCAGTCTCCCAAAGACATGGGCAAAATATAGACACATTTTTACAAACAAGGGTATAACTCCCGTCACCTCTAGGCCAGCGGCCAATCAAATCCTTCTTTGGTATTGAAACCTCATAGCCTTTATTGTATGATTCCTATCGGCACCCTGTTATCAAGCTCAGCAGACAGCTTTCAAGGGCTTCTCCAGCATTTTGTTTTTATTTTGTTTTTTTTTTCTTTTTTTTCTACAGTTTTATTGATAAACAGATAGCAATGAGACAGTTTCAAATCAAATCAGAAGTACAGTTTCAACAAATAATACACTGCATCTATTCTTCTTAGT